TTCAGTTGTATTTGTCCTGTGAAGGTGGCAGTTAAATTGTTTTGTACATTCACTTGCTTGCTTTCATGCAGAATAACTGACATGGAAGCAACCACTTTTAAAAAATAATAATAATGATAATGAGTAATGAAGTTTGAAAGATATCACAGAGATTATTGCAGACATTGAAAACAGTAAAGTATAGTAAGGGGTACAATGTAATTATGGTACTTAACTCCAAAGATTTCTTGAGTGTGCAGATTTATTTCAATATATTTTGATGAATTGTTATCTTTTTTAAGAACAGAATTCAAAGTAAAACACCTCGTACTTGCAAATTATGTTTGGCTTCAACTTCAGTAATATATGAAAGAATGCAGGAAAACACATACTGAATGATGGCACATAAAAAGGCATCTAAAGTGAGTAATGTGATTTCCCTAATAATGAACATAAACACGGCTGTGGAAAATAACAAAGAAGAAAGATCCAAAAGGAAAAGAGGCTATTATATAGTGAATAGTTAACAAATTCAATTTACAACTTCAATAGTAAAAGCACTGTCACTGTTTGCAGTGGTTACACGAATATTCAGCTGTCTCCCATGTTTTCGGTAATGGGAGCACAGCTTTTCCATAGGATAACTAATAGGTATATGTAAAATTCATAGACTGTGATAGTCTTGATCCTCTAGAGTATCATGAAAATTATTTTCATGCCAAAAGTTGATTTCATGCCAGGTTAATAGCCATTCATTGTCTTGCTCAATAGCTCCACTAGAGATGTTTTTTTATGATTTTTTTTATCTTCAGCTAATATTTGAAAGGGATTTTTTACATTTATTACTAGGTCCTCCTTACAACAATAATATTGTAATAATATATTTAGTGTTAACAAACTAGATTGCAATCCATTTATAAACGTTTCTTACAAGATTTAATCAGATTAATAAAGATAGAAATTAGATTTCCCTAATAAAAACTTCAAACAAAAGCTTGGTTTCCATTTTTTATTGTGGTAGAAAGTAGACTTGTATAGCAAACACATTTTGAAGTTTGTGAGACAGCGAGCCTGTATTGTTAACAAATGTTATTGCTCTGAAGTCCCCTTCCCCACAATTCACTTTTTTTTTTTACAGCTGTGTGCATCAGTGACTGAGTATGATTTCTGTTTTATTCCTGTTCCCTTTTGTAATTCAACATCTGTTATGATGTGTATTCTATTGTCTACTGAAGATATCTGTGGTTGTAATGTTGTTACTTGTTGCCATTGCATTGTAGACAGTGTAAAGGCAAGTACTGGATATCACTTTTTTCTGTTATTGCCACATGTCAACTTGTAGATGGCAGATTGAATGCATTTATGTAAGAAAGCTTAAGTGTTTACATTAAATATTTTGGTGCCTTGGAAAAGCATAGCATCCCCCTTCAGTATGAGTCCTTTTTATCTGGTTATACCTTGTCACTGCCATTATAGTCATCTTATGTTGGTTATTTACTTCGTTCTCCTCCAGCAAGAGTAAGTTATGTTATGTGTACTATTCACTGGAGGAATTTGACTACAGCAGAAGAGCATTGTATGACAAGGGTTCAAAGAGATGACTTGCAACACAGGGAAAGGTGCCCTTCTTGGTAGCAGTTGTAATGAAAGCACACTCGAGGTTCTTGATTTTCTTTTATGTTGTTGTTGTTCCTGTATTTTGTCTTGTTACTGTTCATCTTCTTGTGTATACTGCATATTTTATTTGGAACTTTTATATATTTTTCATGGAAGAAATATTTGTTAGATTGTATAATTAAAAAAGGAAAGCATATTTATTAGTGCTGAAATAATTTGGCATCAAAATCTACTATTTCATTCGATAGTAACAGGTAATATCATGATGTTGTATGCCCTATCCTATCCTTTATAGTGGAATTGCTTCTATACTATTATAAGAACCCAGTTTAATTCATCACCATTAGCATTGTAATCATCCTAATACAGAAGTATCTCTGTCCCACTACTCTTCCTTTTCTTTTTATCTTTGTACTTTTTCACACATTACATTTATTTGATGCTATTTATATTTTATATTTATTCGTGTAGCTTTTATTTGATATCACATGGTAACTGTAGAATGAAAAAATGATAAGTATCCTTGTTAATTTCACAGCTCTCCTCTGGCTATGGGTATATTTCTGTATGATATTGTTGAGCCTTGCCCACTTCATTTTAAACTTTACTGTTACAGACCGGAACATCTTTAGGAGAAAAGACTATGCAGTAAATTTCTATTAATATTATTATTATTTACAATGAATAATAGATATTGCATTTCTTAAAGAATATGATATCAGTTTTCAAGAAGGTGCTCGTGATGTTTCTGTCATTTGATGACGGGCTATAAATTCTTTATATTTATTCATAGAATGTAATAATATTTTTATTAAAGACTTATGAACATGCTATTTGTGTATTGTTTAAATTCTTATCAGTGATTTTTCCTATATATTTGTATGATTTAAAAGATATAGATAGCATTATCATGTAAATACACACAGTGAGATAGGTATAGGAAAAGGGCCATGGTCAGTCTTTTACTCAGAAATTATTTGTTTTCCAACATTAGAAAGGTTGACAGATGCATTATTCATTACTACTAGATATTTGTACATCAAGTCATGCTTATCAGTTTGTGAATTTATAATGGCTAATATGTAAGTTTACATACTAATTGCGATAAATATACTTAATGATATGTAAAGTTATGACTGAAAATAGTATTTGGTAAATAATTTCATCAGAGCCCCAAATTCTTTACTAACAGTTGAGATTGTTTACTTTCCTCGACCTTTCGCCTACACTCTCTTCAAGAACCTACAGTCTTCTGAGTCAAATGTTTACAACAATACTTATGGAAAATGACTATTATGTATCATATGATATTAGTATATACCGAATCATTGATACCGATATCACAGGGGGATTTGATAGTAACCTCCTTGTTGATGTCTATATATTAGAGATTAGACATTCTCGTATGTACTTTTCAATTATTATTTTTTTTTATTTAGACTGCTAATTCATATTAGGGTTATTTGTAAGAACAGGAAGACGAACCCATCATGAAAAAAAAAAAAATAGACATAAAAGTAAATAATAAAATGGATACTGTCAGGTAGTTTCATGAATACATTAAAAATCACAATAAAGTTGACATTAGCTGCTTTAGGAGCAGCCAGTTGAGTATGCCAGTGTATGAATGCCAAGAAGCGCCTGTGGGAGGGAGGGGCACCGTCACTCTGCCTGCAACGTCTTCCTCCCTCTGACTCGATCAATGAAAGATTACGTCATTTGCGCGAAGCCCATGGATCAATTGGCGGCGATTACTCTCTCTCTCTCTCTCTCTCTCTCTCTCTCTCTCTCTCTCTCTCTCTCTCTCTCTCTCTCTCTCTCTCTCTCTCTCTCTCTCTCTCTCTCTCTCTCTCTCTCTCTCTCTGTACGTGTGTGTGTGTGTATGTGTGTGTGTGTGTGTATATGGGGGTAGGGTGTGTTTTGTTTGTTGCCTCAGTGTGTGTTTGTTTGGGTGAGTGGCAAAGCGAGTACGTGAGGGAGTGAATGAATGTGTTTGTGTGTGTTTGTTTTCACTGACACTTTTTTTTAAGGGATTACCTCGTAACATAGTCTTAACTGTTGACAATCCTACTGTATGAATACCGGAAAAAGAGAGATTACTAAGTCGGAAGTGGTGAAAAAATATCTATCTATCCCGGATGCCCCTCTGATAAACAAAGATCAAAAAATCGTATTAGAATATCATACATCCAGGATGCGATAAACGTGCTCTGTGGCACGGGAGACCTTCGTGCTGATTCCCGCCTTTAAAACTATAGTTCAGCAGTTTTTTAAAATAAGAATACGCATCATTTTCATAACAGTGCAAAACGTAGGATACGGTTTAGGTGTGTATCACAACTATACTGAGCGATTCGGCTGCTATTGTTAAGCATTGATGAATATTGGCAGAAAATNGGGTGGGGGTGGGAGGGGAGGAGGGGGGTGCTTTGTGTGTGTGTGTTTTTTCTATTCTTTTTTTTTTCGTTATTTTATTTTGTTTGTTTGTTTTTTTCCTTCCTCTCTCTCACGCTTTCTTTGATATATCTCTTTGAGTTTCTCTCTGACTCTCTTTTTCTTTCTTTCTTTCTTTCTCTCTCTCTCTCTCTCTCTCTCTTTCTCTTTTTTCTCTTCCTCCTTCTCTCCCACCCTCCCCCTTCCTCCTTCCCTCCCTCTCCCTAGACTAATCATTGTATCGCACCTCCCTCCCTCTCTCCTTCCCTACCTTCCTCCCTCCTTCTCACCCTCCTTCCCTCTCCTTCTCCCTCCCTCTCCCTAGGCAATCCCAATAATTATATCGCACCTCCCGAATCTCTCTCCCTCCCTGTCTCCCTCCCTCTCCCTCCCTCCTTCCCTCCCTCTCCTTCCCTCCCTCCTTCCCTCTCCTCACTCTCCTTCCCTCTCCTCCCTCTCCTTCCCTCTCCTCCCTCTCCTTCCCTCTCCTCCCTCTCCTTCCCTCTCCTCCCTCTCCTTCCCTCTCCTTCTTCTCCCTCCCTCTCCCTAGACCAATCACTATATCGCACCTCCCTCCCTCTCTCCTTCCCTCCCTTCCTCCCTCCTTCTCACCCTCCTTCCCTCTCCTTCTCCCTCCCTCTCCCTAGACCAATCATTATATCGCACCTCCCTCCCTCTCTCCTTCCCTCCCTCCCTCTCCTCTCCCTTCTTCCCTCCTTCTCTCCTCTCCCTTCTTCCCTCCTTCTCTCCTCTCCCTTCTTCCCCCCTTCTCTCCCTCCTTCCTTCCCTCTCCCTCTGCCTCCTTCCCTCTCCTTCTTCTCCCTCCCTCTCCCTAGACCAATCATTATATCGCACCTCCCTCCCTCTCACCTTCCCTCCCTTCCTCCCTCCTTCTCACCCTCCTTCCCTCTCCTTCTCCCTCCCTCTCCCTAGACCAATCATTATATCGCACCTCCCTCCCTCTCTCCTTCCCTCCCTCCCTCTCCTCTCCCTTCTTCCCTCCTTCTCTCCTCTCCCTTCTTCCCTCCTTCTCTCCTCTCCCTTCTTCCCTCCTTCTCTCCTCTCCCTTCTTCCCTCCTTCTCTCCTCTCCCTTCTTCCCTCCTTCTCTCCCTCCTTCCTTCCCTCTCCCTCTGCCTCCTTCCCTCTCCTTCTTCTCCCTCCCTCCCTCCCTCCCTCTCTCCCCAATCTGCCTTGAATTCCCATTGATTGGAAAAGACAACATCACTCATTCATAAACACGTTGGGGAAAAAAGGGTTGCATTAGACGTCTTGTTTGACTGACAGAAGTGTTGTTGTTTTTCCTTTTTCTTCTTTTTGTTTTTCTTTTTTGTTTTTCTTCTTTTTATTTTTATTTTTCTTCGTTTTCTTCCTTTTCTTTTTTCTTTTCTTTTTTTTCTTCTTTTTCTTCTTTTTCTTCTCCTCCTCCTCCTCCTCCTCCTCCTCCTCCTCCTCTCCTCCTCTCCTTC